CAGCTAAGATTCAGCCGAATCTCTCATTATGACCAAATCGGCCTGCGGAGAAATATATCCGGCGAATTTCAGATGCTTCCTTTAAAGATGAAGCGTACTTTTCCCATGCATGAAAGATTGATTGACGTTCTGAGCAAACTACGTTTCTCAGAATCAACAAGGTTAGAAATCCAAGTTGAGTTCTTTCGACCCGAGTTCCGATATCAGGCGGCTACAATATGTGCCGTGATGTGGAGTTGTGTTACCAAGTGCTGAGTTCATTCTGACATCACTGATGCCTGTTTAAGGCCACTGCTGAAAAAGACTGAAACAAGGGAGTGAGATCTGTTTGTGTCTTTTAAAAGAACAGCAAATGATAGACTGGTGAACTCTGAGGAGAATCGGAGTGGAAGGTGCAAGCACTTAGGTCGGATGATATATTCGCTTCAAATTGAATGCATGTGACAGGGGAAAGTTCCATGTGCACACAGTACACATGCTGTTTACTGTAAATCTAATCGATGCATCCACTGGATCGATGAAATGGTGTTTACAAACATCTACTAGTAAATTTCTCCAAAGGGTTTTTCATAGTCCAGAATCAGAGACACCGCAAAAATGCCATAAAAACACTTTCAATCTTGTAGGCCTAACTGCTAGGCCATTTTCGCCTTGTTTACGGTTTGGCGAATGGAGTCAGTTTGTGCATACCTACCAGTCCAAAGGTCACTGAGCCAGTCTTTTGATCAAGGTTCAATTTTGAGGCCTCTTTGTTTGAGAGTTTAGTACAGGTGGAATCTGTAATACATTATGTATTTGTGTATGTTCATATTATCTCTAGAATGACTTATATGTGGTTACATAGTCCAAGTTACATGGTTTCAGGTTGCACAACCTGTCTAAACAATAGTTTCGTGCTTTCCGATAGTCTAGATTCAATACAAAAACGGGCTTATATCGAATGAATGGAGCATTGTCTTCAAAAGTCCAAATATTCGACAGTGGATGATGACCCGTCCATTTGAATTCATGAAAGCGCTTTTAAAATCATGAAAAACCGTACGGCCTTATGAATCTAATCACATGTGAGTCATGTGATCTTATATCCATCAATCAATAAGTGAGACTTAATGCATTGACCATGCGCTTGTCCTTTGAACTGTCTGTGAACATGACACACAACTTTGACTAATAGAATCCTGCTGTAGTTCAAGAAGAATCCGGAAATAGAAAGAGGTTCCGGTCGCGGAATAGCACCAGGACGGTGTTTGTGACTTCCATGGGTATAGCAATTCCCAAAAAATGGACGGTGTATTTTAGTCGGAGCGAACACCACTGTATTGCATCCTGATGCAGCACCACAGAGTATGCTGTGCCCAATCAACTATTTAACCTAGGCTTGTTTACCTAAACACCCGGCGTAAGCTTTGGCGACCTGGTGCCCCACTGCCCTGTCCGTACAACAACTCTCCAGAAATCAGGGTCGTTTTATACAGACCTGAACAGTTTGGCGCCTGAATAGGGCAACACGAGCGTCGCCGAACAGATGAAGTGAAGACCAATGACCAAGCTCCATGATTTGTGAACAACTTTGGCTATGCCCACATAGTCTCCACTCAGAATAACAACAACGGGTCACATGACATATATGATGTCTCTCCACACTCCGGATTGCAGCCGAACGGAAGCAAGATGATTGTAGCAAGTCAGAGACTCTCTCACTAGAATATGAAAGTGTCTTAAATCTCAAGATAGAGTGGTGTGTACGGCACCGTTCAGCTTGTATGATCACAACCGCTTACGCACAACATTTAAGCAATAGTGACGCTTGTGGAACGGGAATTACGATCAGCAACAAACCGGAATTAGTTGAAAGGAGGACATACAGGGACGGATAAGTCCAAGCAAGTGTCAGCCACACCATCAAGCGCTCTTCTGGAATGTAATTGGAATGTGTGAAAGTTAGAAATGAGAATGCGCGCTTGAGTGTCTCTTTCCATAAACATCCCTTGGTTTGAAAAACTGTCCATCTATGTGGACTGCTTTAGCTGACTTTTAGTCGGCCAATCTCGACGGAGATGACCAGAACTCCATATCTCACTTACAGAAAATATGACTTCACCTCGACATATAGACAAGTCGGCGGAGTTGCGAAAGACAGTCCATTGGGTCCGGTTCTTACAACCGGTTTCACGATCACCACATAAGGGTGCTTGAACGAGAGTTGTCCTATGATATGATATACAGGATTCTCTCGGTGGATACTTAGTCCCATCAGTGAATTCAGTCACGATGTGCTGAAAAGCCGAGAAGTTCTGGGTCATCCATACTGGGAATTTGTAGCAGTGCACATTTCTCGAATTCCCAGGGGAATTCAAAACCATGACCTCCCGCTTCGTAGTTGAAGGATAAATCGTTCGGCCACAATCGGGATTATGGTTAACTGTTGCTTAGACATGGAGTTCACGTGAAAGACAGTTCGGCCGTTGCTAATGAAGTGACCAGCAACTGTATACTGCTCCTGAGCATTTGGCTTGCACGCGGACAGAATGGATCAATCAAACAGTGGGTCTCTAGGAAAGCCATTTGGTTTGGACGGTGCATACATATTTACATTTTTAGCCCGTTGCGGTGCAAGCGCAACGTCGAACGAACACTGTTCACAGGAACACGCAGAATATTTACGGTGAACCATATTGACCATGAACTGGAACGTTTAAACAGGACCCTAAAGGATAATGGGGGATCACTGCAGTTCGTCAGGTGACATACCACGATCAGCCAACCATGGGTCCTGGTCGATCTACCTGGATCTACCTGGAGACTACCAATGACCCTAGTTGCCATGCTTTTGGATATGTCTTGAACGGTCCTAGTTAACTTGTTCATCAAATGAGTATTGCAAGGAGAAAAAATCACACAATGACAACTATTTTTAGCAGCCATAACTTACACTTGAACAGAAAAAAGGGACAATTCGGCCAGGGATTTAAGAAGTCGTTTGCAAACTTTCGGGTGATGTACAAGTGACGAACAGCGCCGCTACTTTGGACCGCCAAAGGACTTCCTCTCCACTTTCTCACAGTCATAACAAAGGTGATGTTATTTCGCACTGCGTTACTGTTTGTAAAAAAAAATTGAGAAGCAACAAACGCGTTTGTTTGCCGGCATGGCCCTACAGGGTATGAATAGCTCATTTTTGAAGTTCAGCGAACGGGAAATGTTTGGATTATCCAAAAATATATGAGAGTGGTAGGTGTGAAACAAATGCGTAAGCCTCAATGTGGTTTAGTCTACGGTCTAAGATTGTACCGTGGTTAAATAATAGATAGTTGATGTTCTTTTCTGTCATCAGTTTGTCCAGAATTTTTCATCATCATCATCCCAATCATAATCATTATCACCGCAATCGTCATCATCCCAAACATCATCATCCTCATCATTATCATCATGATCATCAGCATCCTCATCATCATCCCAATCACCAACATCATCATCATCATCATTAACACGCAAATCATCATCATTATCATCATCATCATCATCATTTTCTTCTCCTTCTTCTTCATCATCATCATCATCATCCCACCATTATCATGATCATCATCCTAAACATCATCATCATCGTCATCATCATCATCATCATCCCAATCATCATCATCACCATCATCATCATCATCATCATCATCATCATCATCCCAATCATCATCATCACCATCATCATCATCATCATCATCATCATCATCATCCCAATCATCATGATCTTCACCATCATCATCATCATTATCATCCAAATCATCATCGTCATCATCATCAACATCATCATCCCATTCATAAACATTATCAGCATCAGCATCATCATCGTCATCCCAAATTATCATCATCATCATCATCATCATCATCATCCCAATCATCATCATCACCATCATCATCATCATCATCCAAATCGTCGTCATCATCAGCAACATCATCTTCATCATTTTCTTCTACTTCTTCGTCTTCATCATCATCATCATCATCCCACCATTATCATGATCATCATCCTAAACATCATCATCATCGTCATCATCATCATCACCATCATCATCGTCATCATCATCAACATCATCATCATCATCAGCATCATCATCATCAGCTGTATAAACCTCGTACTTATCTTACAATTGTTGTAGCTAGCACAGCTTCCCCCACCGATCATTTGGGGAGGCGTGGTAGGTAGCTGCGCATTGGATCTGGGAGCCGATAAATTGGTGCGTAAATACAGCACTGTCAGTGGACTGTTAAGTGGGAGAATGGGGAAGGGAGCTATGCATTGAAAGCAATAGCTTGGATGTATCAGCGTCATCGAGGATGCGACTGGGCCATGTCTGACAATGTCTCTAACCATTGATGTGTCCCGTCTCGGGGGCCTCATCTAGGAAGATGGCCAGGTTTCTGATCCACAAAGGAATATGGAGCACACCGCAGTACTGTAAACTTGACCCTTGACGGTTAAGTGGATACTACGCCTACGCCACAGGTGACGTATGTTCACAAAAGCTGCTCTGACATTCATCTTTCGCCAGGCCACCTGGACTGACACAGCTGCCAAGGTAGATAAACTCGTCTACTACCTAAATCGGCTCATCCGCAAACATGAGGTTAGGTTCGGAGCCCACCCAATCTTGCAGTAGCACCTTACACTTTGCCGGTGTGAAGCGCATGCCAAACCGTGAGGCGGAATAGTTTAGATTGTATAATATTGTTTGTATTACCACGCTTATCTTACAATTGTTGTAGCTAGCACAGCTTCCCCCACCGATCATTTGGGGAGGCGTGGTAGGTAGCTGCGCATTGGATCTGGGAGCCGATAAATTGGTGCGTAAATACAGCACTGTCAGTGGACTGTTAAGTGGGAGAATGGGGAAGGGAGCTATGCATTGAAAGCAATAGCTTGGATGTATGAGCGTCATCGAGGATGCGACTGGGCCATGTCTGACAATGTCTCTAACCATTGATGTGTCCCGTCTCGGGGGCCTCATCTAGGAAGATGGCCAGGTTTCTGATCCACAAAGGAATATGGAGCACACCGCAGTACTGTAAACTTGACCCTTGACGGTTAAGTGGATACTACGCCTACGCCACAGGTGACGTATGTTCACAAAAGCTGCTCTGACATTCATCTTTCGCCAGGCCACCTGGACTGACACAGCTGCCAAGGTAGATAAACTCGTCTACTACCTAAATCGGCTCATCCGCAAACATGAGGTTAGGTTCGGAGCCCACCCAATCTTGCAGTAGCACCTTACACTTTGCCGGTGTGAAGCGCATGCCAAACCGTGAGGCGGAATAGTTTAGATTGTATAATATTGTTTGTATTACCACGGTGTCAGCTTCAAGGAGAGCTAAGAATAATTTTACCCCAACTAAAGTATTATGATAGAGTAGCTTGCATTGTGTACTGTACAACTTCTCGCTTTCCTAACCAATATTTTGCAAGAATACTCAAGCGAGTGGCGCTTTCAAGATGGAGAAATTTTTTCCTGGTTCCTGAGTTTTTCACAGGCATGCAAAGTGCCGCTTTGAACTTCTACCCGGGATTACGAATGAAACCGTAATTTTGGCTAAATACTGTCCGAAGTTCAACTGAAGATTACACCTAACCTTCGATCCCTGCTTATTGACAAAGATGTCTGTTGAGCACATTGAACCACGGTCCAGTAGCGAATCTCAGACTCGCGTTGATATGAATCAATATCAATCTGTTTGCTTTGTTTCGTTTAATGAGAACCGGGAGAAGTTTGAGGATTCCAAAAACCACACTGTTCAACATTAAAGTTTCATGCATTTTCTCCAATCATCTGAGTATTCAATTAAATGAACTACGGTACCCTCATGACTAGACTCAACTCTATACGGAACGTGTTCTTGCCTGCTTATTCTCGCTCCAAAAAATCGATTTCGCAAGGACGATGTACTCGAAGGGTGCCAAATCCCACGGGGACTGAAGTTGTTCAGCTGCGACACCCTTCCGGTGCATAGATGCCATGCTACCCGAAAGAAGCACGAGGGCTGGGGTACTACCGGGTTGCCCAAGCCAAGACAGGGGAAGTCGAGACGCTGAGGTCGGGTTCGAACCACAGACCCTCCGGTCAGTAAGCTCGCGCTATAACCACTCGGGCCATCTCGCCCCCCCCCTCCCCGAGGACTGCTATAAATGGATGAGTAAACTCGAAAGCTATCTCTCGTTAATGTTCCCCGTATAAACAACAGCCTTTCTACGTAACTGTCTATCGGTTCGGCAGTTTATTCCTACAATGATTGGAACCTTTATAGTAGGATCACTAGGAGGATCAATAATCACTTATTCACTGAGTGGTACTCTCTCAACAAAATAAGCTCTGTTAGCTATCAGTAACATATTCAAATTCAGTGTACGAATACAGTTTTATTTACGCTCGGATTTCTTCTCATGTCCCCTCAATCCTAACCTACCCAGGATGCGTATGTTTTCCAAGTTAGCCAATCTTACCGTCCCCTCCACTACGATTAACCGCTGCGACACAAGTTCGCATCAGTTGGATGGTGGATTGTAAGGCAAACTTTACTGTTTCCAGGTTGCACTGTTAGCGAGAGGCAGCATAAGCCGACTTGCCTGACGTTTAGTGATCTCTGGTTAGCTGTGGTAGCCATTCCACAAAACCAATCAGTACGTGTTCTTTTCTTTGGCAGGGATTCACCCGAACACCCATCGTAATCACATGCTTTTTTGCGAATAGAATGCAAGTTCAACCAAGCTGGATTGAATAATACCAAGGCGACAGGAACCTTTGTCACGTGTGTGTGAAGGTGATCAGGGTGGCATAGTGTAAGGGCTCATAACGGGGGTACCATTTGGTTGAACTGTTGACGCCCAAGCTGTTCGTTGGATTTGTGCATTGATAAACCTGTGTGATGAGATGAGTTCGTTAATATGCTACTTATATGAACAACTGATATATACGCCGCCCAGTCATTTGATTAGACCGCTGCGTGCCCAGTCTACATTGGTCATCCATGCTCAAATCTCAAGGGAAGCCAACTGACCTTTGAAGTCAACCGTCTCCTTCAAAACGGGACCTTCAACCGGTTGCTGAATGACTTTGCTTACATATGGTGCCGTAACTGGTCTTGCTTGTAAACGGAAAATTTTTGGAAGACGGACAACTTCCAAATGTATGACTTTTCATTTACTGTGGTGTTCATTCATTCAGGCTTGAGCACGTGACTACTTCACTGTACGTAAATACAGACACTGTTTAAAGTCAAGGATCGCAGATGTCTTGAGCTTACCATAAAAACAGGTTTCTGTCTCACTGGAAAACAAAGTAGCAGTCACCGAACTGCATGCAAAAGATGAATCAGCTGGTTGTAGATTGTTCTGGGGTTTCAATCATCGCCAAGATGGGAGCACTTATGTACTTTGGATAGAAGTGTACTTTTAGGCACGCTAGAACAAACAGTTTTTGAGACGGCTACTGTAAACAGTTTGCGTTCATTCTCAAGGACCGTGGGCGGGACTAATACATTCACCTGGCAAGTTTGTGTACTCGGAGTATAATTGAGTACTTTTAGAAAGTAACCATATCAACTTGAACACAAGGTCACGATAAATAGGGAAGCGAAATGGTTCAGTTTCTTAAAAAGATATATATGGCTTACCCTACCGGCAAAGACTAGTATTTGTCCTCAGAGTGGAAAGGTGACAGTATTAGCTTGAAAACCTCAATCACAAATTTTTGACGCATTTTTGTGGATCTAAATTCAGATTTCTCCCAGTCCCAAAGAGCCTCATACACTAGTTTACTTTAGCCTCCCAAAATTCGCGGCCATCTGCATAAACTCAGACAGCCCACATGCCCCAGACGTTTTTGGCCGGATTCAAATCTGAACTACAAGTGACCTAATCAACGGTTCTAGTGTTACAGTTCAGTGATAACTATCTGACGAGTTCGGCTCTGTGAAAGAAGAAGAAAGCGTTCAGCTGTAGCACCCTTCCGGTGCCTAGCTGCCATGCCACCCGAAGGAAGCACGAGGGCTGGGATACTGCCAGGTTGCCCAAGCCTAGACAGGGCAAGTCGAGAGGCGGAGGTCGGATTCGAATCGCGGACCTTCCGGTCAGTAAATTCGCGCTCTAACCACTTGGGCCATCTCTCTCTCGGCTCTGTGAATAGATAAAAATTTGTTGTTTCTGACCGACTGCCACGAATCGGAAGTGGGACCAAGTTGGTCAATGTCCTAATGTGAGAAATGACTTTTTCTCCCTCCGAACAGAAGTATACCAATTGAATGTGCAAAATCCACACCTGTGGAGGCAGCAGAGCGAGTGTTGCGACCGAAATTCTACTTGTTTACCACCGCAGTATCAAGGATGATTCGTTCCGTAAAGGTGAGATCTTTCCGCCTAAGATCCTAATCGAGGCTACCGAGCATTGCTATCATCAGAGCTATTGGCTTTTTCTACTTCGGGCTGAAATGGTTGCCACATGCACCGTATAATGAACTTCAAAAAGATTAGCAGTTTTTTCATAAAGGAAACTACTCACAAGGTTGCTGAAAACTATTGGTTTCGCCCTTCTTGGGGCGAGTCAGCTAGACGCAGTCCCCGAGTTTCCGTTGACCCTATGTTCTATTCGAGGATTGACAGTTATTTACAGCTCTGATGAACCTTTAGTGTGATTCAAGGTGGCACGTGTGAAACCTCCCTTGTAAGTTCACTTCTCTTTCTCGATACCCGTCAAAATAAGGCGCTTAGAAATCACTGTATTATTTTTGTTAGCCTTTAAGTTTTGCCAGTATTCTCGCGGTTACTCGACCCTGAGTTAGTGTAGATAAGAACACAACTATCTTCAGACTGGACAGCGTTGATCCACACTCCGTACCCCAATTTCGCCAATAGGGCCGTGGTTAAGCTCCCCCTTAGCGCACAAGTTTCGATATCGAGTCGTGATCTTCTTTTACGTGAGAGTGCATGGTCGAGAGATGTGGTTTATGAACAACCAACAAAAAAGTACCCATATTTGCCTATCTGATCGATCACGTGGACACAAGGGATCGCCTGAGAAATGCGACCAAGGTCTATGCAATTGACGAAAATCTGACCAGACTAGAATGGCGTGTATCGGGCTCTGAGGCACATTCTGATCGCACACAAATCTAATGCACTAAGAGAAAGCCATACCAGTCAGCGGAAATATGGGGATAGTGAGTTCATAGTCGAAAACAGATGGCTTACCAGAACAGATAAGCCATAATCTCGCGTGAAATTGGTGATTTGACCAAGTGAGAGTCAGATAAACGAGTTGCTAACGAGAGAAACGGACATTTAGAACGATGTGACGGTTGTGACCTACGTGGATCAGAGACCCCGTTTTCAGACTAAAGCCTTCAGTAAGTGTGTAGAGGTTGAAGAAACAGAGGATTCTTCCTTTCATCTCACAAGAAGAGTTGTCTCAGCACTTAGCGCTGACCTGGTACGGACCTCAATGGGTGAACAATTTTGACTGTTTCCAAATGGATGGGTTTTTAGGCAGCGATTGTTACAAAGATGGTGCTGAACTACACCCGGACAGTAGAAAATACTCCGTTTTCGGAGAAGAATATGGAATCAGTGTGCCACACGAAAAGTTCAGTAAAGTTGTCGCCCTGTCACAGAAGCCATTCCATGCTGAAAAACCTAGAAGCACCATAAAACCCTTTCTTCCCTATTGGGAATCGTCAGCAGTGTGCATCTCATGACTTGTCAGGGTAAATCAAGACTTCCGAAATTCCCTCACACCACGAACAATCTGTAAGTGGCTGGGGGGGGGGAGGGAAAGAATTCACACGACGAGTAGACCCTGTGTCTGAGAAGTCATCAGTTGAGGAGCCAGCCCACATGTATCAAGTGATATAGATCCCACGACTGAGGAATAAGTGGTTAAGTTTGAGAGAGTCACCCTACGGGTAAGCTGCACGTGGCCGAACGGTTAAGTTTCCAAACTATTTGTCTGTAGATAGCGGGTCCGCGTGATTTAGATCCCACGACTGATGACTAAGTGGTTAAGTTTGAGAGAGTCACCCCACGGGTAAGCTGGACGTGGCCGAACGGTTAGGTTACCAAACTATTTGTCTGTAGACAGCGGGTCCGAGACTTTCTGGGGTCTCATGATATACGCACTGCTTGCTGGTGGATCCCAATAAGGATGAAGTGGCTGTGTGGGGCGTCTC